GTGAAGCAGTTGCAAATGCTGTTAATGTATACTGTAAATAAAAGTGGACCTAGGACACTACCTTGCACAACCCCACTTGTGATCTGCCTAGGATGAGACAATACAGATCCAACCTTGGTTATTTGTACCCTATTGCTTAGAAACGATTTTAACCAGCTCAGTAATGGATTGTGAATCCCACATGAATACAGCTTCTCAAAGAGAATACTGTGAGATACCATGTCAAATGCCCTAGATATATCGAAGTAGAGAACAACAACTAGCTTACGTGCTTCGCGACTACTAGTGATGCAGTTGAAAAAGTCGAAGTGGCAAGTAACGCAAGACCTATTTTTGAGAAATCCATGTTGAGACCTTGTAACAAGATCTTCCTTAAGTAGATAGTCTGACAGTTACCTTCATATCATCGTCAATAAATATATCCTTGAACAGCCATAAAGGTTATATTCTCCCTTTTCAATGTGAGCGGTGTTAGGAGCAGTCTGACCACCAGCTTAGGTGGACGGGACTAAATAGTCAGCAGGTAGTGTATCCAGAGCTCAGATCCACCTGGCAGCATATCAATCTTGGGCGTTATTTTTAGTTGAAGCCTATCGGAAACGAACTTGAAGTCAACAAAGCGGAGTAACTTTCCGTTTTACTGAAAGCTGTCGTAGATGGGGCTTTCAGACTGTGCACCTTTCCATATTTCGCCACCTACTCTTTGACAAAAGTTTTGAACATTGTTGCAGCGGATAAGTGTACCGCCTGAAGTGCTACAGCGCAGCAAGTGAATCTGTCGAGGAGAGTGAAAAGCATCTGAAGAAGGCATTGGACCGATGACATTGTAGCGGTGAATAATTCCACAAAATTATTGACCACAGCACTCATCAATGAACATTGGAAGCTGACCCTCACTGTTTAAGTCAACTTGTTTAGCTGAAGGCTTCCGGTCAAGAATCCACACAATTCGGTACTCCGTTGTGTCACGGCCGTGTATGGTCACTAGCCAGTTAAGCATCCATCTCGCACTCCAGTTTGGTCACAGAATATATGTTGTAATTTGGACGATCAAGTAGTGTCTTTTGCTTTGCCTTTGGTCTACGAGGAATGAATACTATAGAAGTTGTGGGTATCAGATCTTGCGTTAGCATACGTCGTACTATCCGTGAACGTCAATACCGCCAGCCTCTGAAACATCTAAAGTTATGTGGCTGAATCTTAAGTCGAAGATAGGCGTGTTGATTAATCTCGACTCTTTGTCGATACAAACAATACAAACAAATGATTTAGCGTCGTTACTGATGTTAAGCGAAATTAATCCCCGCTTAAGTGACTCTGTAGTGGCATTGACTACGAGATGCTATAGATCGCGCAATTTAAAGAAAACTGCGAGCCTCATAGCTGCTGGATAAAGGGTCGACATTCACCAGTAGATGTATCACAAATGATTTCCCCTGTGCCAAAAGGAATTCCGCTGAATTCTAAGGATATCACTTTATAAAACATAAGCTTGGTTCAGAGTCATCTTTTTGTAAGGTTGAAAGGTGTTCTTGATCGAAATTAGCACGTTCAATGTTTCTAATATGTATGCGTGAAGAAGTCTCCGCAAAGTTGCTATTGTTACCCTTTGCGCGTCAAATTCTGTTAGTAAGTTGGGATCTGAATGCTAAATAACATAATTCTTGAGGTCAATAAGCGCCTGGTTTACTTAATCTGATGATCACTAGAGACTGTAAGAGCACCTCAGGCCTCCATCATTCTAAATGGCACTGCTTGAACTATGTTTTATGAGACTATCCCACGATAAGATATTTCTCTCTCCGTATACGTTAAGTCTTGCGAAGACAACCGTACTGTCAATATCTTGTGAGGCGGTGAATATCTTGAATGCTGACAGTTGGGTTCTGAGCTGTATAAAGAGCTTCAACAGCGAATCCCCATTTCATTCACTTCTTCGAAGTCTCTTCGCGACTTCCCAAAGATTTTCATTTCCTTCATATATAGATTTCCTCATCTTACTCTTGAACTCCCAGTGCGTTCCGAAGATCATGATCCCTGGGACATCTAGGAATAAGAGCTTCAGTCAAAATAATCTCAGCAAGTAACATTTGGCCGGACCTACGACGTGGCAAATAGAAGAGGTCGAAAGAGTAAATATGATAATCCTTAGTATCCAAAAAGGTCTCAGTTGGTGCTCGATTTTCCACACAAGTAGTAGTATTTGGAACCACTTTGAAACCCCCTGGAGAGTTCATATGTCCTAGTGCTAATAAGAACAAGCTTAACCAGGCAAAGCGCACTGATACGCTTTGAGTGTAAATGACTAACTTGAGGGTCATTTCTTCATTCGAATAATCGCATGCCTTATGTCCGCCTTAGGAAATGGATTCCCGCTCACTGGGTGGGTTGTGACAAAACATAAGCACCCATGAGCTCACCATACGAAGTCCCTTCAAAATCGCGGCGAGGAACTCCAAATACTTTGCGATTGAGTTTTGCGACATAGCGGGCATTCTTAGTATTAATAGGTCGAAACCTGCCCATCTAGAAAGCAACTCACCCTATATGGTGTTAGAAAGGCTTCAGCAAGCAATAACTAGCAGTGTGGATACTAATGCCCAGATTTTACGGCCGTAAACGGGTTAAACTGGCTGAACCTTTGAATGGTGGTATCTTTTAGGAAAATGTCCGTAATCAGTAATAGAAAACGTCAACATCTAAATAAATGATAATTTATATTTCGTATAAACGGGTAAGTTTACATGAAATGCGCGCCATTTTTACAGACACAATCAGTTATGCTATAAATTACAACTGCGAATTAGCACAGATTAGCACCTTTTCAAAAGTCCATACTGTTGAATTATAGTAAAAGCAATAAGAACAGATTCCCTTAATTGTTGCATTGTAGACCCTTTACTAAGGTTACCATCAAAGCTGAGCGCCAACCCAAACTTCGTTCCATTACCTGCTGATAGTTGTGGTCAACCAGTGAACAGCTTATATTTCGGTAGGTGCTATGCCCACATGATTAAAAGCTATTTCCGGAAGAGAGGAACGTTCTAGGAAGCTTCAAAATGGCACATAATGCAATTGTGGATAATACGTCACTGGAAGTACATTCACAAGAAATATACGAGGAGCTATTGAGTCCTTGGAATGAGAGTACTCATTTTAAATGTATTATGCTAACCATATCGGTCTCACCATGGAAACCATGATATTTTCGATGAAAATATAGCTTTGCTCGAACGTTAGTGTTGTTGTGTTTTCCCCCATCCAAGCAGCGAGACTTTAAGCGAGCGAAGAATATGAATAAAAAAAGTAGGTTTTAGCCTTAATAAAGGCCTAGGTGGCTAAGATGAAATAAAGTATGATAGTACTTAGATAAAGAATTATCGTGAGGTGTTTAAGCGATATCTCAGCGAGATCTGAGGGACATACTGACGCGTAAGATGTTTCATGAGTTTCTATAGGTTAGCACCTTAACAAGAAGCGGAGCAGGCTCTTAGATGTTAGGAGCCATAGGATTTTTAATATTTAGATTTATACAATCATTATTACTTTCGTCTCCATATGTCATGTTAAGGATCTAAACTGATGTTTAATTCTTGAGCTGTCAAAATTGCATGCTGCTGTCCTACGGATTGGGGGAATTACATTTGTGGCCACCACCATGTCTGCTGACGGGCCTGACACACAGTTCACTGAGCGTCTTGTAAAAGCACCTATGTTCTTCGGTTCACAAATTAAGTGGAATAATATAGGGAAAGAATGTATGACAGATGTTTGTTTCCTCTGGAAAACATAGAATGTTTTCTTTCGAAAGTATTATGTCACATTTTAGTTAAGTGTAATATTTCGAAAACTGGGACCATAATCTGAAATAAATAGTTCGATATCGCGATAAATGACGAGGTGTATTATAAAGAACGGCACAACACCTTGGCACCGATGATTTATTGAAAGTGTTACTAGCGAACCATCCCCTGTTCTTATAACACAACAGTATAGCATGAACACACTAGCTGTCGCTAAAGATGAAGTGTTTTTTCTGCGGAGCAGTCACTTTCGTGGATAAACAATGTTAGCTGAGAAACCATTCGTTGAGAGAAGAGTGAGAGGCAGTTGAACCAAATCCTAGCATCAATCCATGAACTCCTTACCACTTGGTTTGGAGACAATGTCTCCAAGTGCAATATAATAATATATATTTATTACTGTTTATGCAGGAACATACCAATTGTACAGGCATGGATAAGTTATTATATAAATTACATATATTTCAATGTATGCTGAATTTACAGTTTGGTTGTTCTTTCTGACATTAGAGTCAGTCAGAACAGTCTGATAAACAGCCTGTCTGTGTAACACATAAAGAGATATAGAAATATTGTCTTCGCATTAACAAAAAACCCAGACATCAGATAAATGTAATACAAATATCTGGGTAAAATAAAGCTTGCAGTCAATAACTTTGTTGTAAACAGCATCCTTGGCTTAATGTTCATTGATGTATTGATGAATCATCTGCTGCCGAAAATTGCAGACGCCCTACTGATCACTGTTCTGAGTCTCTGAGTGTGGTGTATATTGATTTTTTGTTGCCTTCACCTCATGAATTCGTACTTCGCTAGTTCTAAATAAAACTACCAAGGGAAAAGCAACAGGACTACACTACAGTAAAAAATTGAATCTCGTTGAAAATTACTATTTATACAATTTGCTTTCACTCAATTTTGTTTTACTGCTTGAAGTGTTGTCGAAATCATATTAAAGCTACAGGCGGAATTTCAATACTTCTTCAATTCAAGGTATGATTTTGACCAGTATTACGAAATACACACCTGTTATTTTAACTTTTCTACATCTTTTGAGCTCATTTGTTAACTCTGCATCAGAAATCAATTCACAGAAGGAGCTAGTAGAAAACCTAAAAAGCAAGTTCTTGATATATTTTTGGTTAACATTTTTCTGCAGAAGATGGAATTGTTACATCAGTGGATATAGCAAGAGTAATGTCAGATGTTGATCGCAAACTTTTCATCCATGAGAACCCGTATGCGTATCGTTCGCATAAAATTTCACATGGTGGTACGATAAGCGCACCACAAGTGGTAGGTTTACAAATTTGTGAATTTAATCCCTCGAATTCTAAGCTATCACCATAATGTAAGATTATAATAAAGGCGTGAAATACAGCTTACAAAAAACAAGATGTATGTAGTTCAATATAAAAGTCAGAATTCTTTCATACGTATGTAATTTCTTAAGTTTTAGTAATATTTACTCCACACAGTTACGTAGTCTTAAAACACTGGGAAACGGAATATATCTTATTACGTTGGTTGAGACTAGGATACTTATGCAGTCTACTCTTTACCTTCACCACTGCGACGTTTTGTACGACATGTTTTATTTCAGAAAATTCACTGTCTTTAAATAATATTTATGCTGTAAACGGAATTCGCTGTGACTTTTCTCGTAAACTTTCGGATTGAATTACTTTTCCTAGCTTGATTTAAACGTTTTAAAACGTTTAGACACAAAATTGATATACACACCCCTAGTTAAACTTACCAGATTTCAGATTTTAGGATGAAAATGGAAATTGGGGCCTTTGCAAACTCTTTCCTTCTTAGTATCTATGCATGTTTAGCTCTTTCCTGGACGCAAACAACACTTCTGAAAGCCAGTTTGGAGTGTTGGTGACTCGGATAGAGGACCAGTACTCTATATATCATGCTATTTTCAAATTCGAAATAGCTTCATTTCTTCTGGTCCATGAACAAACCTAATGGTGTGAATCAGAAATGTTTTTCTTCATCGTAGATTTCAAGAAACTTTCTGATAACTGATAAAAATAGGATCTGATAAAGGTTTACGATTTTACTCTAACTAGGGAGTAAAACCTTTACATATAATAATTATGATGCTTAAATTCTCCACGCAAACCAACAAAATATTAAAAAATCAGGTGAAAAATCTTGTTATCTATCGGAACCTAGGTATCCTGTATTACGAGTTAATATGCTGGAAAAGATTATTGTTTTTCTCTTGTACAATTGAAGAAACCTGGATTGCCATTCACACCATAAGTAGTTATTGTATTTCCTTTTGTGCACTTACTGTACATAAAATAAGCTTCTAACGAATCCTAATTACATTTGTGTGGCGTAGCTATCATTTGTTGATGTATCCTATAAGTGATGCATTGCTGTGATTCATTGGAAATATCTCTAGGTTGTCACAACGCAAATTTATGTACTACTTTGTTTAGGCTGTTCTTTTTATCATATTTTGACGCTTCAGAATCTTGCTGCGGATTTTTATACCTTTTTATTATGCAGGATGGGCATATTTTGGAAGGACTAAGACCAGGTCTTACGAAAGATGCAAACGTTTTATGTGTCGGTTGCACCGGTGGATACCTATTGGCATGTATGTCGATTTTAGTAAGTCTTTTTTATTACAGTAAGATATTAATGATCTTTTTCAAGTGATTAAATTCTTGTATTCTGAAATAACCCGATCTGAGTTTATTTAGTTCTCATCATTAATTTCATTACTTCACTAACCTGTTATTATTATCCTAATATTTATTTGAACATTCTGAATGTTGTGCAGTAAACATACCCACATAGAGAAAAATGACAGGTCTATCTTTTTGTAATCAGCAGCACTGAATGTTCTTCTGAGTAAAAAGACATCACTGCTAAATGTAAAAGCATCTATTTTGATAACAAGCTGCATAGGAAGACTGTTGGCCATGGTTAATACCATAAGTTTTTTGCGAGTTGTGTTAAAATTAGTCTGATCAAAGAGACCAATCCATATAAAGTAAAACTGACTGAGTATTTTACACCAGTTGTTTAAAGTGTAATGTGAAATAAAATGCTGATTTTATTTGATTCACCTTATTATACTTTTGAAATGGAGAGTTGTTTTGCTGTACTATCTAGTTGAGTTAATTCCATTATTTATGAGGTAATGTTACTGTAATGAAGTGAAGTATCTTCAGGTTTTGGTTGTCACATACTTTTGAGATATGGGTAAGCGGAACAGACGATAACATTGGGCTAATATCTCACTTCACTCGCTTTAGCCTTACTTACCTGCATTAACAGTTCTCATTGGCTGACTGCCAAAAGGCCTGTTCAAGAGTTCTTATCTGGTGATATTCGCAGACTAAATGCGACATTCATCAAGTGAAATATGCCTTGTTCAGAGGTTAACTTTATCGTATCTTATAACTGTGATGCATTCTCGCCGAAAGGTGCAGTAACATCTTAAATAACAATGAAAGTAGAAGTAGTACCAGGTACGAAAGAAAGAGTGTTGATGAGATTATGAAGCTAAGACTAGACTAGGTTAAAAGAGAGCTTGAAGTGTTCATGTCTTCAGCTGTTGGTGTGAGTCACATAAGCAGGTGAAGACAACCTTACTGAGGCACTTGAAGTGACAAGGATCATTGTTTACAGTCCTTTGGTGATATGACTGAAAAACAACCACAATTTCTAAGCTGAACTCTTGTCATCTAGGTTCCAAAACTCTTTACAGTATTATATATTGGTTAGTTTATAAGCAAAGAAGAACTGTCTTTGCATAAACACAGTTTTGTAGTATACTTTGACTTTCAAAAAATGCTACATCTCTGTATACCGCGGCGATGAATTAGTGGACTAAAGAATTCGCTTTGTCACGTTTTATTACCTTTGGGCAGTAAATATGCACAACTTTTAATTAGTCAATACATTTTTCGTGATTTATCAGAAGATATGCTGAACTCTGAAAATACTCGTAATATCTCCTGATAGTGTAGTCTATCTGGAAAGTTCTTGTATAAACTATGGCTTGATCCCAATTTGGGGCATTTTGGCGGTGCATACTGACACAAGGTTTGGTTGTATAATGAAATTTACTACATGTCTATTTAATTCATGTTTTATATAAATATATATATATGATAAACTAATCAGCTGAAAATAGCTGTTTGGAGAAATTCAAAAGAAGGAGCTTAATTAAGGATTTAGGGAAGAAAAGTTTTGCCTTTGAAAAGAAGAAGTCACTTTACATACTATTAGAATTTAGAAATGACTTACCCAGTGAAGAAAGGGTTAACGAACAAAAAAAGACACTTCAGAGAATTTTAGTGCTGATAAATTGCAGCTCATATTTTCTACGCGCTCGTCTGTGAAAGTGAATTTGAAAGATGAAGTGCCTGGCTAGCAACCTCTTTTTGTGTCTATCAACTTAACTGCCCCACTGGGCCACTTACACTAGCTTCTGCTCTAGAAACTGAATTTCCGATGCTCCCAAACGTCTACAGATGTGGCCAAATGAAGGTGTCATTAAATTATCAATAGTTCAAAGCTTGCGTACATGAATTAAACAGCCAGTGAAGTCAGTATTAAAGGATCCTTTCCCGTTGTCTATCGTGTACCGAATAAGTTAACTAAAGTCCCCAAGCATCTAGCAGAAGAAGCTGTAACACTTTGTTTAAAACATCTGAAACTTCCTACAAAATATAAAAACACATTCAGCCAGTATTGTTACCCAGGTCTACCCAATTCTAAATTCTGCTAAATTCTTAAATTCCGTGTTACAGAATTCCCTTTAGGAGTGACCTTTCATCCTGTGTTCATACATTTCTACACCTTTTATTGATTACTTTTGCAATACAATTCACCTGATTTACTCATTTTTATACCATGTAATTGTACCAAAAGCTTATATTTTCTTAGATAACCTTAAATTATTCACTTACGTGCAATTACAGACTTCTATTTTACTTTTCCTCTATGTTTTCGTTGTTAACAATAATTAATATTAATTTTACAATGGAACCGCATGGATTTCAATTTGAACAGGAATCGATAGGATACTTGTACTGTAATCTAGTAACAATATCCTCAAATACACACACCTCCGATTTTTTATCTTAGTGATTCGACCTTATTAAAAGCACTAGTGTGGTCAGTAGCAATCATTCTTTAAATAATATGTTATGTAGTAGTGATAATAATAGACACTCTATTGCAGGCAGTAATACAAAATGGAATTTTCATCATGTACATATTTCGATTATTTTATCCCTTATACTCCTTAATGACTGTTACAAATGGTTACTCAAAGTGGAAGATATGAAAAGGCTAGCGGTCCTTGACCACAGATATTTGCTTTCTATCTCCTATGTGAAATGGCATTATATAGCAAGCGCTGTCGGGATTATGCGTAGAGTGCTAGGTAAGGCAAGGAATTCAATCGATGAGGATGTGGAGCTACATAAACTGAGATACCTTGAATACGTGTTGCATATGCCAAGCCGCCAATTCCCTCGACGGATGATGTTAGCTTACATAGGATTAGGTCAGAAAAGAGTTAGGGGTGGTCACTTCAAAATCTGGTATCAATCCATAATCACTTTGACGGTTAGTTTGAACCAGCCACACAGTGTGATGCAGACTGCCTGGATGGATGTGGACAGCAAGTTACTATGGTCCGATAGCTGGAGATTGTTGGTGTTAAAGTTCGAAACTGTTCTCACTGGCGCAGATTTATTCAGTTTTTATTATCTTCCATGTCAGTTGAACCGTAGTATTTCTCCATGTCATGGTTCTTACTTCTTGCCTTGCAATTGTTCACATTACAGTCCTTGTGAATTTTTTCTCTTGAAGTGTTGCACTTCTATGCAAAGTTCTATAATGGAAACTCAGTCAGTCGGGTAAAGTGAATGAATAGTAAATAAGTGATTGTCAGAAATAAGAGGCCATTTTCTCTTACAACACATAAAGTAGGCTTGTTAATTATTTTCTGATATTTGTTTCTGCACAGGTCACCTGTGCTAAATAAGGTAGAGCTGAGTTTTTATATTTAACCTTCTGAACTAAAATTTACGTAAGACTACTTTTAGTTTTTCTTGAATGGGGTAAAGGAGAGAATAAAAGGAATTAAAAATGAAGAAATAGGTAGGATAAAGGCATTAATAAAGTGGAGAAGATTTTTAGCTCAGATGGATGGTATTGAATTAGTTGTGTTCTCTAGGCTGGTTGATTTTATCATGAAGAATTCTTCGTCCTTCTAGACATCCTCGGCGCAGGTTTTAGTATAGGATGAACTTATTTAAATTCTCCATGAATGACGTAATGGTATCTCTTGGCATCACTATCTTGACTGGTTGTTAGTTTACGTCTCTGTTGATCATCTTTATTGACTTAGAATTCGAACTTTCTTGTAATTTGATTTACTTTTTATAAGCTGGTGAATTCGGTCTATACTAATGTGTTTGTTAATCGCTGGTTGATTCGCTTGAGTACCAGACTGCAACAAATCCCCTGACTGCATTATTGGTGTTTCCTCCATTTAAAATTTCTATACTAACCCAATCAAATTGGTGTCCGTAATTATTTACACGCATTAATATGAAAGAATATACATATAATGCTTTTTTACAGCTAATTTGTGGTCGTGGATTCGGACACGAAGACGACGCCCCCTTTTGACCGATGTAATGATTATTGTAGTTCATACAATTTACTTTTTTTGTTTTTCTCCTTCACGTTCCCCAGTGGAACATAGGGCTTCAAGCTAGTGGTTTGAAGTTTCTGTAGCAGTGTTTATTTTACAGGATGGGGTTGCTAGCCTCATGCCCAACGTTTCCTCTTCACCAGCATTATTATTTCTGGCTTAGCGAGGTAAAGGAGTGCGTCTGTGGTCGGGGATCGAACTCCGGACCATGTGCATGGTCGGTGAGCATCCTAACCGCTATGCCACCGACGCACTATTTACTTTGTAAATGGCATAAATTTTATTTTCTTTTTCTGTCGGATCTTTCGGTTTGCACAATATCGAATTAAGCGATTTGACTGGTTTGTGTGCTATATCTACGTCAAACGGTTTCAGTATTCTAGCTGTTATTTCAGAGATACTTCTCTTGTATGGTAAAATAAATTTTCTTGTGGTCTTTGATGATGGTTTCTTTTTTCTGTTATGACTCGAGTTTAAACACTTTTTGATGGAATTTTGAGGATATTCATTCTCTTTGAAGATGGTAAGTAGGTACCTTTCCTCAATTTCTTCAACACCTGAGTGATACAGTGTGTCTGAACCCTTCTAACCAATGTTTGTACACACTTTCTTTTGTGAGTAATTGGGTTATTACTATTATAGTTGAGTGTTTGGTCTATGTGAGTTGATTTTCTTTATTCTTCTGTTTCTAAGCTTGCTGTGTTAACTTTCTTAATTAAGACATCTAAGAATGGAACTTTGCTTTTTAATTCTTATTCTCTTGTGAATATAATGTCTTCAAATATGTTGTTTATTAATTTGTGGGTATATACCAAATCTTTTTATTTAGCTATTACAAATGTATCATCAACATAACATACCCAGATTTTTGGTTTAATTATAGGTAGGGCTATTAATTCTAATCTTTGCATAACGGCTTCAGCTATCAGTCCTGATATGGGCGACCCCATTGGCGTTCTTGTTATCTGTTCATATATTTGATTATTGAATTGGAAGTATGTTGTAAGATGTAATTCTATGAGCTCTGTCCAAGTTGAACATTGCCTTTTGTGCGTTCATCGCTATAGAGTTATGCTAGAAAACCGTAAGTAATTGGTCAAACGAAAACTTTTGAAATAAAACAGATTTAAGACGACCAGCAAAGATTAAAAGGGAAACTAATAGTGAGGTAATATTCGATTTGTTTTCTACAATAATGCCGTCGCTGTTGCAGGAATCTTGAGAGTGAGGCAGTTCACAATAATTGGACTCACACCTAGAAGTAAAATCAACCCTTTAACATTTAGAGGGTCCAGTTTAAGACCATTTGGATGCGATCATGATTAAGTTACGATAGGAAACTCATTATATGAATACAATCTAATTCAGAAACAAATGGAATAGAGATTTCCAGATCCCCAGGTTATTCAGTAGAATTAGCTTTAGAAGGATGCGCAGAGTTATGTGAAAATGCTGGGAAAGAAACGAAGACAGCAAGCCACGCTGAGGTGCACCAAATTCACTGAGCAATCAAGTAGAGCGCTTTCCCAAGGAGACGGTGTACTGCAGAATCTGAAAAACAAATTATCGGAAAGAATACATTTCATCGAGCAATTAGTTTTTAATTTTTAATCAGACAATTAATAAGTCGTGTAAAAGGGATAATGAGGGTACTTCATTCAATGATGTCACCTACTGTTTCATATGTTTGGCTTTTCTTTCATTTAAAGGTTGAATCTATGGGCATTGTTACCGGAGTTGAAAACAATGTACACTTGACTAAATTGAATATACAGAACGTTAGAAATTGGTTGGCTGTCAGTGAAACAGTGCAAACGCTTAAGATAACTCTAGAAAGGAATTTCGCATTTGTAACTACTAGTAAACTGGGTGAACAAATGTTCATAGAAGATTATAGTGCAATTTTTTTGAAGGGTGACGATAAAAGTGCAATTGAATGGGTAAGTTATTGCTCATTCTGTACAAACAAATTTCTTGTGTGCTATCAGATTATATTTACTGATAATCTATTCATTTAGATATTGTCAAACTAAGTTTATGACAACAAGATCTCATTAGTAGTAGAAATAATCGAAACGAGAATCCCAGGATGACATTTTTATCCTGTCAAGTTGAATGCTACTTAAAGTCACCCATCAAACTTCAGTCCTACTTACTTTGGTTTTTACTTATGTCTCTGTCTGGATTCAACATAGAACTTGGCACCGAAGTGCAGCAGTTCGAGTTGCCACGTTCCAAATAGCACACAAATGTAGACAAGAAGATGAGTGAAGAGAATCAATAGAGTTTTGACAAGTATAAGAGTGAAACAGAATGAGTAATGGTAGAAAGGAATATGAAAGATTACAGAGACTGAATACATCTGCGTAAGCCATTGACAACGATTTCGATCCATGTCGCCTATTGTCTCCAGCCATTGATTCTTAGAGTCCCGAGGGTGGGCCCCAACCCAGAAGTCTGCATCTCCCTCCCTACCTGACTTAGTTTAACTGTCAAGGATTTCATGGATTGATGAGGCCATGTTTTTGTTTGGCCACCACTTACTCTTTTCCAACCTGCACCTATATCAGCTAGTAATGCCCGTCCGTCGGGGGAGGCGATGGTTAGGCATGCGCACCACGTGACCTAGCCATCTCAATCTATGTAACTTTATAGCCTCTTCGATTGATTTTCCCTCCTTGCGCAACACTCTACGCCTAACGTCAACATTACGTACCTTATTATGCCACATCCCAACGTGAGAAAGAGATCGTAGACATCTATGATCAAAAACAGTCAACCTTTTCATGTCTTCAACTCGTATTGGCCATGTTTCAGAGCCATATGTAACTTAATGATACCAACAGGCTGCAATGAAATACATTTGATGACATCTTGTGAAGAACGCGTAACTTTGCGGTATACTTTCTAAAGGGAACTATAATCAGAAGAGAAACATACTTTCCTTTCCTTAGTTAAACAGAGGTAGGTTTCCTTTAACATACGCTAGCTGAAGCTTCAGTGGTTAGCTGTTCACACCGGAAAACTCTTTAAATGTACGAAAAGACGATCAGGTGTATAATATCACACTATAGATAAATTCCATCAGAGTATATAAATGTGAAGCCTATTCTCTTGAAAAAGTAAATATGTAACTGATATCGCTAAGTACATGATTGCCCCTATAAATTTAATATTTATTTACATTAGGTTTTGAAACAATCTTGTGAGAGATACTTGAAACTCACGAATAGTGTTATTACGTAGAAACCATTGGGTAGGTTAGAATAGAAATGTTACACTTTATTTTTAAAACGAATTTAACAGTTATTATGCCTAACGAAATAGTTAGCATTAGAAGTGAGTCATTCTGTTTCTATAATCTCCACCCTTAAATGAAACACATCGAATTCGTTAGATAGAAGCTTCTTGAAATACTTGAAACGGAATTCATATCGCTTGAAAGAAGATTTCAAGTATTCTGTGCTTAAGACAGTAGAAAGGGGCTGTTTTAAGTGGTATTTGGATTTGAGTCCGTATGAAGATCTTACCGCCAGCTACAAACCACCTCACGATAACTCAAGTTGTACAGTATATGCGGCCTAGCCTTTCTAATTAACCTGTAGGAACATTCTTTTCAGCCAGTGTGGTTCATTATGCCGTTGCGATAAGCAAGTCTGACCACCACGAGAAGGCAGCAGCAGCTGTCTGTATCTCTTGATGATGCTCTCTTTCTCTTTAGTAATTTACTGATGATTGTAGAGTAAATTAGACAGGGTCTATAGACAACACATGCGTCAGACAGTAGGAAACGAGAAGACAGGGATATCCTGGAACGACGTGAAAAACCTAGAAGACATGGATTTCGCGTGTGGATGATTTATGTTTGATGTCACACAAGATCGAAGACTTACAAGCGAAAAGCGACCGGTAAACTGGTCGAAGAAGCAGCCAGAGAAGACAGGACTCCAGGTGAACATAGACAAGACGGAGATTATGAAAATAACCAACCAACCAACCAGCCAACAACAAGAACAACAGCAGCAGCAGCGACATCCAGCGCCAATCACCATCAACGGGAGGGATTTGAAAGAGGTTACTTCATTCACTTATCTAGGGAGGGAGCATTGTCTCAACTACAGGAGGAACGGACGGACGAGGATGTCAAATTGGGAGTTGGGAAGGCGAGAAACACATTCATCAACCTGAAACCAATCTGGAAATCTTCCGCTGTCACTCAGCATCAACAACAAAATGATTCGGATTTTCAATACAAACGTCAAGTCAGTCACTTCTTCTATACGCATTGATCAGAAACTTGGCGGGTCACAAAGAATATTTCCAACAGCCTGTTGCAGACCTTTATTAACGTCTGTCTTCGCTGTATACTGAAGATCAGATGGCCGGAAAGAACAAGAACCAACAAGAAACTATGGGAAGAAACAAAACAAGAACCAATCGCTCAACAAATATGCAGGAGAAAGTGGAGATGGATTGGACACTCGCTGAGGAGGCCGCTTGGTGACATCGCGCGTCAGGCCAGTGCTCGAGTGGAACTCGAAAGGGAAGCGGCGAGTGGGACGTCGTCAAGGGTGACATGGAGGAGATCGTGTGAAGAGGAGCTGAAACAGTATGGACTAACATGGATGCAGGTGAAAAGTCCAGCAGAAGACAGAAGCAAGTGGAGACGTGCAGTTGAAGCCTTATGTTCCACTAGGAACCCAAGGGAACAATAATAATATATACTATATAGACAACACAGTGCTGCCGTCTGGTGTTACACTGAACTCAGACATCGAGTCTTTTGTTACAATGTCACTTTGTCCAAGTGAAACTATGTAAGCTATTTTCATTAGTAATTATCAAAAGTTAAAATGTGGAATTCACTGCCTTACTAATGTGCTAATCATCATATATCCTGTCTCCATAGAAGTTTCCTTGCTGGGACCGTTTTAAACAAGCTTAATTTGGCTGGCTGACGTTGATGCTAAGAGTGGCAAATTAAGATGAACCGAAAATAATAACTACAGCAAGATAATGACTACCAGTGTTTCATTAAAAGGCTCAGCCAGAAGCCAATTTGGTTAGTTTATGGGATGTCGCTGTTTTTAAACCCTGTCGCATTTGAGGTTTGAATTTCTTTTTCGGTAATTACCCATTCCATATATATACAAACTTTCTTAGGTCGGCATCATTTTATTCATTCCATTTCATATTTTCTGATATGCTATTTTTTTTTCCTTCACGTTCCGAGAGGAACACAGAGATTCAAGCTAGTGGCTTGAAGGTTCTGTAGCAGTGGTGATTATTTTTACAGGATGGAGTTGCTAGCCTCATGCCTAACCTTTCCTCTTTACCAGAATTATTTCTGGTTTAGCGAGGTAAAGGAGTGCATTTGCCGGGGATCGAACCCGGGACCATGTGCATGGTCGGCGAGCGTCCTAACCGTTGTGCCACCGATGCACGATATGCTATTACGTACTGAAAATTAGTGTAATTTGCCTTTGAATTTGTCAAAATACTCATTCCACTGAAAAATCACAATGTTTAGTTATTTGCCGGATTTTTTTAGTTGAAAGGACGCTTGAAAACTGGTGGTCATCTTATTTATTCAAGAGAATCTGAAGATGGATACGTAGAATTAATTAGAGTAATTTGTATGAAGCCTGGGAAATTTGACGAAGCAGTTTCGGCTCGTATTCCATTGGTTCTGCCTGCTAAAGAAGAAGAGAAACCAACTGAAGAAGAGAAACCAACTGAAGAAGAGAAACCAACTGAAGAAGAATCGTCAATTGACCTTTAGTGAGTCTCAGTTATATATATGTGTATTGCTGTAATTCTTTATCTTTCAAATCAGTTCATAATAGTTTCACAATTATTTTGTGTAGAATGGTTACGTAACCAATGATGCATGAATGATTAGTGCTATATCTCAGTTTTCAGGTGTTACATAGTAGGCAATCTCCTATGGAAAAGGATAATTTAGGGGATTGATTTTTGATAACTGACAACAACATTCTAAAGCGAAATAGAAAAATAGACCTTGGTTTCGTTGTTTGAATGTTGGATTACTGTAGTGCAGATTTACTCTTTCCTTCTTCTCAATTACACTGTAATAGCAGTTATTATTTTTCGAATGTGATGTGATTTCACTTCTTTGGCAGATGGATTTTTTTAAATCTTAAAGAGGACTAACAACACTTTTATTGTCTAGTTGATTCTCACTACTTACTGTCCTTAGCTCATTCAAGATGTTAGTATGAGAAATGATTCATCACTTTTATTATTACTCTGTGTTTTCATTTCAGCACTCTCGATTTCGACGAACTACTACTTACATCAATTCAAATAAAGCATATTCCAGATATTAAAGTAGTCCTACTGTTACTCGTCTGCACTGTTACTATCTCGTTCATCAGATTATTTTAAGGAACAGTGTACCGTTCAGTGCTACGTTTCATTGAAACCAGAATTACTTCCCAGTCTAGAGTGACACTGGAACTCGAACTTGCCGAATAACTTGTTCATTGTTATTTAACACTTTATTCCAAGTCACTAACATTCGACCCTTTCTCAGATTCATCATTATCGTTCACTTACATATATATATAGACCAAGGTGATACCTACTTTGTTTAAGTCATGTCATTTCTTGTGCGTCCCCTGCTATTTCATCGTCAGTAACTTTGCATTAACTATATGAAGGTATTTGATATTTCGCGTTAATTACAACATTCTCTAACTGCATTACCTCACGGATACTTCTGCATATATTATGTTTGTGATTGTGAGTGTACTAACGGCTTCCAGAATCGATTTTTTTATGCTCAAGGTTTATTTGTGGTCTTTATTTATCCAATTAACTTAGTAATATATGAGATACCATCAGCGGTCTAAGTGTATTCATAATTATCTTAACATTATAAATAAAAAACCCAACTCAATAAGTGTTAGCTAATCATTATGTTTACTTGTTTCAGACTAAGTTAAACTTTTCTGTTATTTTTCCTGCTATAAGCAGTTTACAATGCTAGCACAGTTCAAAAAGGGTCAGAATGTAACTAAAAATGCATTACCTTTCATTACTCTGTTAGTGCTTTTTGTACTGGTCAAGTTATATCAACTTTTTAAGAATAGTCGACTCACGTAGAATCTGTTGTATCTCTGTAACGACAGAAGGCAAGAGTCAGGCAACAGATCATTTATTAAGGAAATCAACGCATATTTATATATGTTTTTATGTGCATTACTATGGATGTGTAAACAAACAAACACAGTATTCCGATTGGTTGATCCTCACGACAAATCTTGGGAACGTAAATATTGACGTAAATTACTGTCTACCAATTTGGCTAGTAGACAGCTCTCACCACATCTCTACTTAATTTTCTCCTCTGAGTCTTATGTTCACACGGACCAAATAAGCCTCAGAATAATTTTACAAGTAATGTTGGAACATGTAGGTAATCGATTTTCAGCCAATGAATTCTTACGAAATGTGTGCACTACTAACTGGCATGAGTAGTTTAGAAGTAAGCATAGGAATCGAATTCATGCTGACCAGTGGTCTGATTGACTGGTCTGGTTGACTTACTGACTGAATTTCAACAAAGAAGTCTGAAGACAAATGCAGCAGTTCAACTTGCCACACTTCATGTAGCACACAAAGGTAAAGAAAAGAGAGGGAAAAATATAATTAGAAAGGGCTATAATTATCACAACTATACAGAAAGAAGAGTACAAACATAGAAGAACTTGAGGGTTTAATAGTAGTGGCAGGTTACAGTCAGTGAACGAATTGGCCTCAATGAGAACGATTTTGAACCATGATACCAATAGTCTCTAACCATTGGTTCCTAGCATACTGAGGTTTTCAGCCAGGTAGTCCACATCTCACTACATGGCTAGCTCAAAACGATTGTCATAGAGTTCACGGATTGATGCCAGGTTTCGACTGACCATCCCCAAGTATTTTTTTAGTGTCTTTCTACATCAGCTAAGATTGTTATTCAAGAAAAGTGATGGCTCAGCATAAGCAACACATATTCTAGCCATGTCAGTCGATTCACTTTCACAACATCATCGACTGATTTACCCTTCCTTACCTGGGACTGTACGCCTAACCTCAGTACTACTCACCATATTGTTCCACTTAACACGGGTGATAGGATGCAAGGGCATGCAATTTTTTCATATCCTCTGCTTTCAATGGCCATGTCTCACAGCCATAAAGGACGACATAGTGAAGTGCTCAAACAAATAAATCATTCCCATTCATCGAGTTATGGGTAACTAACTACTTGAGGGAAATACAAAAAAGCCGAGTAAAGTTTTGTGGGATATACAGTTCGATTGAGAAGCTCATAATGCTTTCTTTGGAAAATGGAAAGCACTCAGATCAGAATATTTTAATCGCTTGAAACTGAAAGTGGCATCCTTAATGTAAGTGTAAAGTCTCTCCAGTAATACCTATAACCTGACTCGCTAACCTACTTTGATTTATTTGGTGTTTTATTTATATATTCATTCATCCATCCAGACTAATAGACTAACGCATATACCACTGCAGATTCAATTACGAAAACGCTGATTGTAGTCTATGTACATCTATGCCTTATTTTTTTAACTGTCATTATATTCAATGTGAAAATAGACATAACTTTTTAACCAACTTCTGTATTCTTAGAATAGCACATGACGAAGATTGGCTAATTAACTCACAAAACTATTTGAAATCTTTGTATAACGAACATATTCATGCTGCATATATGCATGGAAGAGAAACAGTAACGAGGTGAATGGCAGTCAGTATATGATGGCTGTTTATGGAATATCAGGAACTCTTGCAATTGGCAAAGTGTGTACTTGGTGTATTTCAGTACTACGGTGTGAGTGAGATATTGTAACGACAGCTGGCAAGACACGGAAGCCAAGGTCCATTATCATTGATCAAACCGCTGTTTACATGTATATATATTAGTTTATATTATTTGATCAATCACTGAGCGAGTGCTTTTGCTTTACAGCAAACGAAATGAAAGTAGAATGCTCAAATAAACTTAGAATTCTGTTGCTAATGCCTAAGTGAACTGTGGGAATATGTGAGAATAATATTTCGTTGGCACGCATTTTCTGTATCACACCACCACAATATGACTGTGGAATATTATTATTATTGTTTCCTTTAATTCCTAGAGGAACATAGGGCTTCAGCCGTGCGTCTCCATTGCGTTCGGTCCTCTGCTAGAGTCTTCACCTGGCTCCATGTCTGTCCACACGTTTTCATCTCCTCTTCACATGACCTCCTCCAAGTCACCCTCACCCTTGCACTGACGACCAGCTCGCCGCTTCCCTTTCGGGTTCCACTCGAGCAATGGCTTGTCTAGTGATGTCACTTGATGAAGTTGAGATAGAGAGGTGACTGCCATTCCAAGCTTTGTTCAGTGATGATCCGTAATGTGGCGATCTGATCAATGCATGACTTGTTTCTCCTGAATCCAGCCTGTTCCGGTCGAAGTTTTTCATCCAGGTTGGCATGTTTGATTCTCTCCAGGATGATGCGGCTTAATATTTCGCTTGGGATGGACAGGAGCATAATTCCGCGCCAGTTCTTGCATTGACTTAAGTCTCCATTCTTTCTTTGGTAGTTTGAATAAGTATCCTTTCTTCCAATCCTCGGGTACTTTGCCTTCTTCCCACACCTTCTCAAGTAGTGGCGTCATCAAGTCCGCCGTTGTCTCTGGGTCTATATTAACCTTGTGTCGATTAATTGTCATCTATGATTCACAGAATCTTTTAGTTCCAGGACGAATAATGTGTCACTGTGTATAAAATATCAGTAATTGATTTCTCAGTTTCTGTTTAGATCATCGCTTAGTTAAGTTTCCACGGATTATAATTTGACAATTTGACATATCAGATGATACTGTGGTACTTTTTCACCCTTATCATCAATATGATGAGAGGAATGCGATTGTATTTTAATCAAATAAAAGATGTTGCTTCATAATATTGGAGACAATGTGAGCAAATGAATTCCAGGACCTTTGTCAAAGCAAAAAATAACAAGAATTGTAGTATAAGCTGTGCATATTTTACTATTTTCATGCTTCTTTCCAACTGCAGACAGCCTACATATTATGATTAACAAAGTGAGAATACACCATTTTATTATTACTCTGTTATCAGCGTATTTTGCATAACAGTCATAGTTTGATGTGGTTGTGTTCTCTGAGCTGGATGGTTAATTTGAGAAGCTTTCATCACCCTACTAGGTGACATCTTCAGCGCGTACTTCAATTCGTTGAAGTGAGCTTTTTAGATTTCTCCACGAGTTTATTAATCATCTCTCCCGGTGACCTTGGATGTGATTGGTTGTTTTTGTGCGTTTTCACACCTTCTAGGCTACTTGTATTGGAATTGGTTGTTTCTTTGACTTGAACTTTGACCCTTTGTGTGTGAGGTTTCTTTCTTATCGGTTGATAAATTTTGTCACTTCAAATTGAAGTATGCGCTGAAGATGTCACCTAGTAGGGTGATGAAAGCTTCGCAAATTAACCATCCAGCTCAGAGAACACAACCACATCAAAATCATCCATCTAAGCTACAAATGTTCTCCATCATATATAACCATCATAGTTTGAATAAACAATACAAAAAATGCTGAATGACAAATTGAAGATGACTTCCTCCTTAATAAATAATTGACAACAAATTGATACGAATCGTATTTATTTCTTCAACAATATCAATTTGATGCGTGAATATCCAGTACAGATGATTTACAAACTTACCTTCTAGTGAATCGATTCAACAACAACAGTAGGCAAAGTGAATGATCACCTGAGAAGCGTGTTTCTAGTGTAGTAATACAGAAAGAGCGAGTTATTCCCTTCGTTAGCTTTATGCTCACATGAATCTGTTTGACATTGGAGAGGATCGTAAACTTGAAAAACTGTGTCATAATATGACTCATTTCAAATTCTGTTATCCTGTGGAAGTATGTCTCTTGTGATCAGGCAATAAACTGACTAACGACAACTAATCTCTGTGCAAACAGTATGCAGAAGGCTTCAGTTTACCTGTAAGTGATCCTCATAACTCCAGCAATCCATCACCTATAGTCATCAGAATTAATGAGAAGCCCAAATCAACTTATCTTCTCATAGGAGAGGCTGCGAGTAACAATTATTTATTTATTATTGTTCCCTTGGGTTCCTAGTGGAACATAGGGCTTCAACCACACGTCTCCACTTGATTCTGTCTTCTGCTGTACTTTTCACCTGCATCCATGTTAGTCCATACTGTTTCAACTCCTCTTCACACGATCTCCTCCATGTCACCCTTGGATGTCCCACTCACCGCTTCCCTTTCGGATTCCACTCGAGCTATGGCCTGACGCGCGATGTCACCCGGCGACCTCCTCACCGAGTGTCCAATCCATCTCCACTTTCTCCTGCATATTTGTTGAGCGATTCGTTCTTGTTTTGTTTGTTCTCATAGTTTCTTGTTGATGATTCTTTCCGGCCATCTGATCTTGAGTATAGAACGAAGACAGATGTTGATAAAGGTCTACAACAGGCTGTTGGAAATATTCTTTGTGACCCGCCAAGTTTCTCATCCGTATAGAAGAAGTGACTGACTTGACGTTTGTATTGAAAATCCGAATCATTTTGTTGTTGATGC